CTTTTTCCCAATTCCTACCTGTTTTTCTTGAATATCGGATTGAGCGAGGGGTATACAGAACACGTGAAACGGGAAAAAACCGCGAACAGTTAATAACCGAAAAAACTCTCAAGGCCACCTACGACCCTTTTCCCACTTCGAAGCAGAGAGCAAGTAGGACTCCCTAACCTATCCTCTATGAGAGTCCCCAAGATGCGACTGTGCGCGTGAAACAGGAAAGCACTCCCCCCCCTCCAGCGGATCAAATAGAACCCTCAACTGGCGATTCTTCAGCGTCGAATGTGCCCTTGCTAGATTTCCAGAAACTCGTACTTTCTGAAAGAAGCCCCCCCCTATGGTGTTTGTAGGATTGAAGAGGGCCTCTTCCTGCTTGCCTTTCACATTGACGCTTGTAGAATTACCCGGGACCTTTTTCTGGTCGCCTGCGACTTCTCACCGAGAGTTGGCCCCCTCTCCCTGCAGCATTTCCTAGAAGGGCACAGAGGGCAGAAGTAGTGATCCGTACTGTACTAGCTTGGAGAGTATTCAGAACCATTTTTTCAGAGTCGATATCCGTCGTTTTTCATGAATCTTCATGGACACGCCTGCCAAACTTGATTTTGTAAGTCTGAGTTCGTTCTTCCTCTCCGTAAATCTTATCGTTGATTTCATAATTTGTCGTACTCGTGGCATCGAAGCCGCCTCAATGCCCAAGTAAGATGGTTCAAAGCAAAAAAATAGGCGGGGTTCTCATCAGGGCACGTCCTACCGTTGGAGGAGCATTTTGCGAAATACGACCCTACTCGGAATTCCCTTTTCTGGTACGACCAAAACTACCGTTGAGCGAGAAAAGTCGGAGCGGAGCGGAAAACATTTTCTTTCAAGGCACACCCAGGTTCAGAGATGGTGGCAAGATGGTAATTCACAAAAAAGAAAACTCGAAAAAAACCGCTTGAGATGCCACATTTGGAGTCCCTATGCTGGGTGCACAAAGCGAAGAAAGGGCGTGGTCGGATGAGTTCTCACTTTTGCTGCCTGTTCTATCTA